TGCAAAAATAATATTCAACAACTGTATAATAGAATGCCTTCTTTTACTCAAGTTGAATAAATTAGCAAGATCTTAAATAGTGATTGAATAAAAATATCAAATTTGATTGTATCTTGAGAATAAAATAATTCTTTTTTCAAAAACAAACCACTCATTTAAAATGATTTATTTTTGAGTTTCAGTTGAGTTTGGGTGATTTATCTGATTTAAAATGAGTTTAGTGATCGAATATGAGTTTGGATGATTTATCTGATTTAAAATGAGTTCAGTTGAGTTTGGTGATTTATTTTGAGTTTGAGTGATTTATTTTGAGTTTCATCTGAGTTGAATCAGTAGTTTCTCCCTGGTTTTCATTAGTGAAACATATACCACTTTGTCTGTGATAAAGAAGATAAAGAGAAATTTATTTTTGATCGATTTATTATTTGGTGATGATATATACATTGCAAGATGAAGCGTATTTGATATGATTTAGCTTGTCGTACTCGTAGTGTCACAATTATTCACCTACTTAATATTTCTAAAAACAAAACTTGAATGATTTGGGAATTCACGAAACTTATTATTTTTATTTTATAACATATTAGAAAAACCAGTTGAATCTGAAATATCATCTCATTATCGATATTTAGGTCTCTCAAAAAGCAATCTTTCAAGACGTTTTTTCATTTTAGCAAAGGCAATCCATTATTGACAGTGATTCCGTCGTGTTTGAATAGATCAATTATTATTCATAACCAAATGTATTTCTTATTCTAAAAACATTTTCGTCGAAAAGATATATAAATAACAATATTTTATCATTAATATTTTGTTAATCTTACACTTATTCTTTTAGTAATTTGAATCTTGATCAATATGTTAGAGACATTATCATTTTTAATCGATATGTAAATTGTTATTGAATTTTCTGACCAAGCACTAAGTTTAAATAACTTCAATAGCATTCATTATCAAGACAAAACATATCTATGAAGTGATGAACTGAATTATAGAAAGACTATCATAAGATTTAATACATTAGGTCCAGTAATGATGACATATGATCTAGAGTAAACAATACTATGTCTATTAGAGTCCATCGGGTCCAAGAATTTCTGGACCCGGACCCGGCCGATTAAAAATTTTTGGACCCGGACCCGGTGAATTTAATTTTTCTGGACCCGGATCCGGATCCGGACCCGGTCGATCAAAATTTTCAGACTCGGAACTGATAGATCATTTTTATGACAAGTCAATCACATTTTATAAGCCAGAAAATCTCACATTTTTTTATAAACAAATTAAGCTTTTTTGAATCAAACGACCGAAAATTTACAGAAATTCGTAAAATTTCATTATATTCATCAAAAGTTTTTTTGATTTGGTCCCAATGGGCAAAAAAATTTCAGACCCGGACCCGGTCAAATATAATTTTCAGACCCGGACCCGACCCGATGGACTCTAATGTCTATACATCGTATGTTCAAATTAAGCTCTGTACTTCTGAAAATATATTATGTATAAATTTTTTTTGTTTGAAAAAATGACAATGAACTGCATCTTTGACTAATGTTTGCGCCATAATTAACCAGAAGTGGTTGTGAGCGCAATAACTTGACAACAACAACAGTCAGTGGTTGGCCATTTGTAACAATAGAAAGAGGAGAACTTCGGACGTCTTTTTGTCTGATACTGTATAAGACAAAATTATTTTCAAACGTCTCATCTTTGTAAAACATTTAAAAAGATGCATGAAAACTATGTTATATTTCAATATAATTTTTATTTCGACATGTATTTGAGATAGAGGAACTTCAGATCTCTATAGTTCATGGCACGATTTAGCTTTGTCATGTGTGTTTTTGAGTTGTTTGTGAAGATGATAGGTCTTAAATTAATTTTTTCTCTTACAGTATCAGAAAGTTGACAACCACTCCTCTTCAATTCCAGGAAGGGCTTAATTGTGTTTTTTTGTTATGACTAAATATTAAAAAAAAGATTAATTTCAACGAAATAAAAACGCTAGAAAAAAACTCAATTCAATTTAACGGAACACAATCGCTTTCATCTAAAACAAAGCATTCGTTATTTAGGATGAAGTCTTCTTCTTCTTCTTCAGTTATTAGAGTGAAGAACCATGCTCAATTTCTAATCATTTCAGTTATTAACAATTGATCATCGATCGCACAGTTTTTTTTTACAAAGAAATTTTAAATAGATATGAAACAAATTGAATATTAATTTTGACGGAAGTGCTTTTATGCTATTTTAAGTTTCTCGTAATCTAAAAATAATAACACAGAAGATGATCAGTAATATTACAATGCGTGCGTATACATTCATATTTGTAGTAATGATTTTAAAATGAACAGAATTTATCCTTCAACCTGTCTATTTAAACAAAAGAAAGTAATCAACCTCATCTGAGTTAAGTTTTAAATAATTTGAATAAAAATTTTTTATTACATCATCACTCTTGATATTGATAAGTTCTTTCTCTCTCTCTTTGTCTCACTTACTGAAATGAAACTGTTTGCGTAGTAATTATTATTCTTGGTTTGATACAAAAAAATGAATGCAAAGAATATTTACTGACTGATCTACGAGTATGGATTCATTTCACCAAGGCTTCTATTTCTTCAATAAATTTCTATTTCATATGATTTATTCATTTCATTGGTTTTTAATGACAGTATACTTATTTCCTAATCGAAATATTACAAACCTTTTCCTCTGATCAAATATGAGAGTATAAATTTCATTTTTTTTTGGTTAATGTTTCGTTTAATGAAATGTAATGACTTCACTTAACACTCATGCTTGACATTGGGTTCTATGCGTATGATTATATTATATTGAATATATGTTGAAAAAGACAAATAAGTATTAAGATAAGTACAACAAAGATAAGGTTTGTAGAAATAGCTTTATTTTTATGAAACTTGAGAGAAAATTATTATCAATGATACAAACATTAATTGAAAAGCATAGTTGTCTATTCAGAAGAAAATAATGATGCAATAGTCTTTGATAAGTGATATATGTATGTGTCAAACGATTGAATACCATTTGTTGAACTAAATATAATCGAATTCATGATTATCAATAATCGTATTAATCAATCAAATTATTACAGCTTGACATTAACAGTAACGGTTACTTGAATGAAATAAGCAAGACATCTTTATGAAAACAAACAGATTGTATATTATAGTTCTCCTAATGTCAATTAACTCTCGTAATATCATTAATATCATTTACTGTCAAGGTTTATAATAAATATAGTATTTTATGAGTTATTCAACCTATTCGTGAATCATGGTAACTAAATAGATAATATTATCTATAACTCATTTGTAATATGCATATAGAAAACTGACGCCTTCTATAGATTGATAATCTGAATCAAGTTCTATATCTATGTTAATGATGACAAGATGACATCGGATTTCCCTCCTCTTTCGTTTTTTTTGCTTACATCAAGACGTAGTCACAATTTACACAAACATGCGAAAAAAATCTTCATATGAATAAAGGATATGTCTGATTTTATGAATTACGAGAAAATGATCTAATAAAAAAACATAGCCTCTGTTAATCATGAATAATGTTATTGATGCAAGAATGATCTCTTCTGAAGATTATTACAAAGGACGTAATGTCTATCGAAACAATTATTTGGGCGTTTATTGACCTTGATCTTCTATCAAGATACCAACACTTGACTGTTAGTTATGTGTGCCAACTCAATTTTTTTCTTTTTTTCTTCCTTTTCTTCTCTCTTTTTCTGTTTCTTTTTACTTTCTGTTCATGATAAATAAAAAAAAAAGTATCTAGTTCGCAAAAGAAGAAGCAAAACATTCGTAGTTTCTTCATCTCGTGTTATCAATAACAAATCTATTAGACGACACAAAAAAAAATTTTTGTCCCGCTAGACAAAGAAAAGACGCTGAGAAAACATTTTTTTTCTTTCTTTTTTCTCTACCATGTGCTGCCACTATAATAAAGTAAGTTGAGAAAGAAACCGCAAGTTTTATTGAAATAACATATTCATCAATTTATTTTTTGTTCAGTAATCTGTAAATGTTGACACGAAGATGAATCCTTTTGGTTTCATTTAAATGCATTTCGATACAAGATTATTTATTGTGCATTTTATATTCATTACCAATTTTATATGTTTTTCTCAATATACGGATGAACAAAGTTATTTGTCATTAGTTGAATTTAATCGTGGTGGTCCATCAACAAATGTGATATTATCATCACCACATGGTGGTTTTCTTGGAGCTGAATTCACATCAAAAAAAGCAGGAAAAACATTAGCAAATGGAGTTTCCATAGAACCACCTGTACAATTACCCATTGGTGGTTGTTATAACAATACACTAGATCGTTGTGTATATACACTACGAGATTGTTTAAGATCAGATGGTGATAATGGTGACAAAATGACTTTTCATCCTGACGCACGATGTATTCTCGATCGTAGTTCAACATCAGCCATGCATTCATTAACTAAAGCTATAGCTGAAGCATTCCCATCAGCATACCGTCCATACACAGTTTTAAATAAACTTACTCGTCAATATGTTGATCCAGCAGAAGATCTACTTGCTGGAACATTTTTACTCGAAAGTTCTACTCGTGTCTATATTGATTACCATCGATTGATAGCTATATCTAAAGAAGCTATACGTCCACCATCACGTGGTCTTTTTATTGAATTTGTTTTTCATAAAAATTCTCAAACAGTGCAACTTGGTTATGGTTTTGAACCAAGTTCTTCATCAATGGTCAGTAAACCATCTCAATCAACAATAACTGAATTAGTTTCACGTTCTGGTCCTAGTGTTATCAAAGGAAATAATTCATTTGGTTATTTTTTACATCATAATGGATTTCAATATGTTATTCCAATGGAGCATCAACGACAAACTAAATATCGTTTATCAACTCATTCCACACGTATGCATGCTGATCAACGTTTTAATGCAATTTTGTTTTCATATCCAATCGAACGTTTAAGGACGCATACACTTAAACTGGAAGCAGTTCGAATTGCCAAGGCTATCGAACAATTCATACATGCAAATAATATTAAACCTATTTCTGCATCATCTATACTATGTATGAATTCCATCACGATTTTGTTGTTATTCTTGTCACAGTTTTTTTCTAATATGTATATTTATCATTAACATTATACCATTTTTCTTTTTTTCTTGACCATTCTCTAATTGTTGTTACTTGTAATTCATTCTTCACGTACGCATCCTTTGTACGGCGATATTAAAAAGAAAAAAAAGGAAGGAAGAATAATTTTTGGCATGAATACAAACAAATATGAGCGATCATTCTTAGATGAACTCTTTTCAAATTAAATTATAACTATCTCTAACAATAATGTACACAAGATGAATTTTTATTCGAGCGCAGCAGGAGATAAATGTAATATAAAATAACATATGCTGTATGTCGCGTCTAACTCAATCGTGTACATGAATTGGATGAACACACTTTATGACCAGCTGTGACATAATACTCATTTTTCTCCATTAAATTCAATAGATTTTCTTTTTCTTTATAGTTATTATAATTGAACATATAAATTGATAGAGAAGCACACAACTGTTCTATTATGTTCAAAAAAAAAAAAGAAAATTAAGAAATAACGGACCTGCCGATAAGTAGAATAAACAAGTAGAAGCTCTCACTGGTTTCATATCTGACAAAAACAAGCATTATAGAAGAAGCGAAAAAAAAATACATGGTCTATTTAGACTAAATCATATTTTTCATTTCTACAAGTGTTTCCCAATGGACAATTAAATAATTTACATGATGTACATTCAAATGGTATTGTATAAAATAATGTAATTAATACAATAAATAATGCAATTGTTGTTGCTAATGCTGCTGTAATAACAACAAGACGACGTACATTTTTTTTAAAGCTAACATCTGGAAAAACGATCATATTTAGCATAAAACCAATAAGAAAACCAAAACATTGAGAATAATTATCAACTAATGGTAATAAACCAACCGTAAATAATAAGAAAAGACATATAATTATTTTAAAGAATGGTATCCATGGTCTTTTTAATGAACGCCAACCAAGAAATAACTCACTAAGATAACAAGCAAGTATTGCAAATTGTCCACCACCAGGACCAACTTGAACTGAATCATGTAAAAATAATGCACTACCTAGACTTCCAACAAAACCAGATACAATATAAATTATCATTACACGTATACAACCAGCTAATTTTTCTAATGGACGCATTATTGTATATTGAAATATAACTGTTATTAATAAATGAATTATACTAAATCAAAGAAAAATAAGATATTTCTATTTTGTATTAGATTTTAAAATAGAATATCTACCCCGCATGAATAAAGATAGTTGTCCAAAATCGATAGACTTGATCAGGTAAACGAGCTAAAAAGAAAAAGCATGAAACATTGAATTAATATAAAACAAAAATTTTATTTTTTTTACCAACAAAAAATTCCAGCATACCACAAACATTTTGAATACAGTCGACCTAAATGTATAAATCTTTTTCTTTTGAATTATTTTTAAATTTTTATCTCACTTGAGAACATAAATGAGCACGTGGATGATAAATTCCTCGTCGACGACGACAATCATCTCTTGATGTCAATATACAATCTCCAAGTACACCGGTACAACATGGTCTTGCTAAAAAAAATTTTAAAAATATATATATATGCTGAAATGTAAGATTTCTTTTAAAAAAGTCTACCTATGTTTGTACATTGCATATGTGGATAAAGAGATATATTATTAGCAATTCGACTATTATCTTGTTCGAGACAAATCTAAAAGATTTAACTAAATTTCTCTTTTCTTTTAACTTATCAATAATGTACCGGCCATTTAACAGCATTTGGAGACCATTTTAAAATTTTTGAATTAACAGATGTTAATGACCAGGATCTATCATCTTCTCGGCGTGTATTACCAATTAATTTTTTTATACATGTTCTAAAAAAATATAAAGTCATAAAAAGAATAATATTCAATATTTTTATTACTCTGGTGTAAGTCCACACACAGCAGGATAAATAACATTGTTTTGATCTTTAAGATTTTTACTTATGAGTGGTCTTTGATGCCATGTTAAACCTGATCGTGGCTAAAAAAAGAATCAAACAGACAGTGTATATCTAAAATTCAATGATTTAGTAACTCGTACAAGACATTGCTGAGATAAAGTTTGCATACAACGTCCAGTTATTGAATCAATACAACAACCAGACATAGCTTCTAATCTTGCTTGTTTTTCATATCGACTTCTAACGTCATCATGTGTACGAATACATGGTGTATATTTTGCTCCTAATCGAATTAAATCAGCTGGATATGGACCAAACCATGGATTCATTGTTAAATCAAATTTCTGTTGTTTAAATATAGAAGAATTTTTCTAGAATAGATTTTCTTTTATTATATGCAAAAAAAAAAAGAAAAAAAAATTAATTTTAAATAATTACAGATTGAGTTGATGATAATGGAGCATGACCATAAACAATCAATGAAATTCCACAAACAAGAACTTGAACAAATGTTACCCAATATGTAAAATATGGACGATGTGAACGATAAGATTCATGAATTTCAGCTAATTTTTGATTTTTTTGTTTTATTGATTGACGTTTAGAACGAGAAAAAAATGCATTGAATCGACGATTTTTAACAGCAGCTATAAAATACAAAATTTATTTCATAAACAAAAATTAAAAAAAAAAACTAATTACTATGTGATGGTCGTTGATTCATAGAAGTATTAGTTTGTGAAGTAGAAATAATCGGAGTTGGAACACGATCATTATCTGTTGGTGTATTTTGACTACTAATATTAAATAGAATAACAATAGAAAATTTTCGTTTTTTAGTATTTCTTATTTTACCAAAGATCTGTATCTACATGATCATGTTCCTTAAGTCCAATAGGTTCTGTTGTTGTTAGATCTTGTAGATTACTTTTATTTGTTAATATTATATTTTTCAAACCAATACTAGGTTCATCTGCTTGTTCATCTTCATCTTGTTCCTATATTCATAAGACAAGAAAAAAACTAATATTTTATTTTCATTCAAAATAAACATGCAAAAATAAAAAGAAGAAGGAAAAAAAAAGCAACAGCAAAAAGCAAACAAAACGGTTTTAATGATCGGTCAAGTGCTTTTTTTTCTTAGAGCAAGCAATTTTCTATTCATATATAAAAATTACACATTTAAATAATGTGTCTACCTCTTCCAATGATGTCGATGCACGTATGGATTTCGTGCGTGGCATCTCATCTACCTTGAAACAAGATTTAATTAAATTAAAAGAATAATAAGTTGATGATAACTTACAGCAAGTAAATTCCGAACACCGGTAACAGCCATACCCAAAATTGATCCACGTTTAACATTTAATGCTTCGGAATCGATACTACCAGATGTAATATTTTGTGATGTTGGAATGATAGGTCTACTAATAATTTCAAATGAGCAATCTATTAAATTAAAAATAAAAACAATTTTCTTACCTTTGCTCAACATCACTACCTTGTTCATTCACACCAATTTGATCGACAACATCATCTTTTAATTCTCCACCGAACATACTATATTTACTTAGAAAATTATAACGTCTTTGTTGCCAATTATCTTTATGTAATGCTGGAGCAGCTGCTGTTGCTAAAAGTGGACTAGTGTTCAACTGCATTACACTAAAATTCGAAAAAGAATAAAACAATCATTCTTTCTGCAAGGAAATATCGTCTTTTTTTCTTTTTTTTTTTCATTTATGATCTTAAAACTATTTTCATTAGCTACCGATCATGTCGATTAATTTGTTCCGATACCGTTCGTCTCTTTCTTACAGGTGCTACTGTTACATTGCCTCCAGGTAATTGCCGAAGAAATAAAGTGGTTGAAGGTAATTGTACTTGTGATTTAAGTCGTTTTTTATGTCTCATCATTGACATTGTAAATTCGATTTGTTGTTGTTCACCATCATCATCATTGTCAGCCATCTGTTTCTTTTGAATAGAAACGCTTACTTATGTGTAAAACATGTAATTATGAGTATTCTAACAAAAAAAATTGCGAAGAAAGAAGTGCTATACTTCAGTTGTTCTGTTATTTGAATAGTATCTATGAGAAAAATATGAGAAAGACTAAAAGGAAGCGTTAATAGAAAAAAAAATCGTGTAAGAAATAGAAAAATAAGATTTCTATGAAGAGTAAATAAAAAGAACTAAATTCTATGTTTTCATCATATTGATGATTATTCTGAATTATACATGACTATGTTTATTTTCAAACTTGAAAGACGAAATGATATTAATAATGATTTTTCAATCAAAAGATACGAGATAATAAATTTATTATAATAAAAAAATATTATTCAATCCCGAATGAAGAAAAAAAAAACAAGTTTTTAAACACGTTCGATCAATAATAATATACGAAGAAGAAGAAGAAGAAAAGACTCATTATTGTAATTAATTTTTTTCTTGGCTAGACAAGCAAGAAACAAAGTTGATGATGTATATAATAATATAGATGAAGAATTTTGCTGGTTTATATATGAAAGACACTTTGTGCATTTATATCGTGATTAGTCAAGATGAATAATGCAGTAAAGTAAAAAGTAAGATGAGTTCTATCGAATCGAGTCTAATCCGATTAAGTATAAGACATTGGACTTATCAATGAAAAAAAAAGGAACTAGATCTTATTAGTTACTCTGTCGACAAAAAAATAGGTAAATATATTTTTCTGAGGCTAAATGACAGAAACCTAAGAGAAAATTATGTTTTTGACAGCACTAATTGATCATCAATACAGATGTATGTTTCTCTTTTATTCAATGATTATATTATATCGAAAATAGTTCATATATATCTATATACGCAGAAATACGATTATTACATTATGAATTTCATATAGATTATTATTGATGGTAACTGCTTTTTTATACCAATAAAAATACTGATAGCAAAGATAAAACAATAGTAAATGTAAACGAATGGTTTTCATTTTGTTGCTTTCTCTAGATAGTAGTAATAATACTACTGTGTATATCCAGCTGCTATTTCTTTTTTTATGCTGTTGTTTTCCTGTTTCATCATTCGTCAATATATATAATAATATCAATACATGGTACAACTGGAACATCTTAGTATATAGATATAAAACTAATTATAAAAACTCAAGTTACAAACATTTATTCTTTGTTGTCATCAGTTTATTATTATACACAAATTGATAAATATTATTCTCACCTATTCGATTTATTTATTACATCATTGCTATTTATAATTGTTGGAGTTGATGATGAGAAAAATAAATATTTATTATTTTCTATGTCATCATCTTGGTCGATAATTTCGTTTTCATTCATATCACAGGATAATAGATGATAATGAATAATAGAAGACATTGGCGATGTCATGTTATTACTAGTAGATTCTATTGTATAATATTCACCAACCAACTCGTTATTGATATGTATATGAAAGAAATCAAGTTACATTATTGACCAGTTCTTATCGAACTGTACTATGCACATATATGTTTGTAAGAGTGTGCAAAAAAATCCTATTCTTGTTCCATGTATGCAAGCAAACTTCTTACTTACATACGTCTTTTTCTTTCTTGTATTCTTTTTCCTTGCTGACCTTATTTGTGTTCGATTGCAGACATCATCATATCGACTTTTTTTTTTCTCTTATCAATAGGTTACAATCACTCTATATATCAGAATTTCTTTCAGATGCGACGATATTCTATCGTTGTATCAGACAGTCTTTTTCATGAGTTAGACATAATGATACATAAATTGTCGACGAGATTAATAACCTGTTTTTCTTATGTTATTGTTCCTATTGTTGTATTTTCGCTGATAATATTCAGAAAAATTAGTTTTCAGTAATGTTAACTGTTTGAGAGGAAAAGTTTCGGATGTTTTCCATTCTTTTGTTCTCACATACTTCATTCGGAAATAAGATTTTACTCTCGAATACACTATCTATAAACGATCAATTTGTATATTAATATTACAAACAAAATGACTTCATTATGAAGTATGTATTCTATCAAAAATTCTTTTATCATAAATCAACACTTTTCTTTAAATAATTATTAACATATATTAAAAAAAAAGATGACTATTTATTCGAGGAATATGAAAAATTTATAGTTTAATTTAATATTTCTATATTTTGTTATTCGTGTTATATTAGATTATATTAATCGAAAGCATATTGAGCTTAGCCTAATAAAATAAGATTAAAGACGAACGAATCAAATTACATGCTGAGAATCGATCTTAGAGCCCTTACCGCTTTGTTAAATTATACCATCCAATTGGTGCATTATTAGTTGTTGTTGCAGTCGTTGATGTTGATGTTGGTGTAAATTTTTCATGTTCAAGTACACTATCAATAGCTATATTCCATAATTGACGACTACGAGATCTATTTTCATTTGAATTTCTTTTATTAATTGGACTATTGGGTGATGAAAAAGATTTTCTTGGTATATGAAGTAATGAAGCTGTTTGTGAATGAGCTATAAAATAGTTTTTTTTTTTAAGATAAAAAGTATTGATAAGAAAGAAAATTCTTTCAAATTTACATTGTCGAGTTGAATTAAGTTTCGTATTATGATTCTCGTTTTCAGCCATTTGTTTAATAACAACTTATTATCATTTATAATGGATAAAAAGAATATTGTTTTTCTTTTTATATTTAAACTATTATAAAAGTAAAATGTTGACTTGATCACTTTTGTAATCGTATCAATGCTAATATGAAATAAATCGATTTTGTATGTATACACAACTTGACAATTTAATTTATTGATTTTACTGATTGGATATTCTGATTTAATACAGAGAGACATCTTAAATATCATATTATAATTTGTAACAGAGGACGCTGTGTAACGAGTTGTCTGTTGTTTTTTTGTATGAAAGATAGTATAGCATAACAAGGAAATCATCAATGGTAGGGCAATACCTCATAATTTTTCAAAAGAATTTGTGTGCAATAGTGTAATTGATGAAGATTATTATGTTTTTATTTTTCTTGGTGTCAGAGTAATAACTATCATTGGAAAGATGTCATCTAGTCTGCCCCATCTTTAGTCACGTCACTAATGAAACAACCATCTTCATAATTTAAAAGATGATTATAGATACATGACAGATATTTATTAGAAATAAACAATAAAATATCGAATAAATATGTTATGGAATTTTTCTAGTAAAAGTTTATAATTTATTGTATGATATGTATTGCATTTGAATAATGATTTTATTTCGCATTACGATTATTAGGAATTCAATAATTTGTTTTAGAGATCATATTCTAGTTAAAATAATCGTGAGCAGAAGGCATATGAATATATTTTAATAGGTGTCTAGGATTCGATATACCACTTAAACATGAATGCTTATCAAAACAAGTGTTTATTATCAAATGCATATCATTCTCAAGTATCTTCTATTTCTTTTCTTTTTTTTGCAATGATAATTGGGCAAGGTTTGTTCTCTCTTCTTTTGTTCGATGTTTGGATGCAATTACATGCACCTTAACCAAAGGTTTATCTTATCTATATTGTCTACCCATATATCTTTTAATATGTTAACATTTTTTTTTTATTGTCCTATTCTTTTTATTTTTCTTATTATCATCGTTGCTCTTTGATTATATATAAAGGGGCTCGAACACGAAAAAGACACAGGTGTGTGTGTTTGTGATTGTAACAAAAGAAATATAAAAAAGTGAGACTGCAATCGCAAATCTAGGTTAAAAAAAAAACGTCGGTCAATAATTTTTGTATTTCTTAAAATGCCAATAAAATCACCTATTTATTTAATCGCCAGTGGTGATTCTCGTCTTGCTGCAAATCAAACATGTTGGGAAGCACAAGATAAACTTGAACAAGCATTAGCTAAAGCTCTTCAATCACTTGGTCATACAATAAAACGTGCACATGTATATGATGAAAAGAAAAAGCATGGTTTTATTGATAGTCAACGTATGGGTATGAATGTATTTGCACATCTACCATCTGATGATGTTCCATTAATTGTTGCTGAAGCTGTTTGGCAATATTCTCATCATGTTTTAGCTGGTTTAACAACACATAAAGGTCCAATATTAACTGTAGCTAATTGGTGTGGACAATGGCCAGGTCTTGTTGGTATGCTTAATTTAAATGGTTCATTAACAAAAGCTGGTGTTAAATATAGTACATTATGGTCAGTTGATTTTACAGATGAATTCTTTTTAAATAAACTTAAAGAATGGCTTGAAACGGAAACTATTCGACATGATCTATCACATGCACGACCATTAAAAGAATGTAAAAAAATACCAGATGATTTGGAAGCAATTGGAAAAAAAGTAGCCGAAAATATATTAAAACATAAAGCCATTATGGGTATATTTGATGAAGTATGAATATTAGATTTATTTTTGAATTTTACATTTTTTTGTTTTTTAATCAATTATTTTATTTAGGGTTGTATGGGAATGTATAATGCAATAATATCTGATGATCTTCTTCATAAATTAGGTATTTTTAAAGAACGTCTTAGTCAATCAGCACTTTATTTTGAAATGCAACAAACAAAAGATGATGAAGCTCGTGCCGTTTATGATTGGCTTAAAAATAAAGGCATGAAATTTGATTTAAAAGAACAACCAAATGATTTAACAGATTTAACCGAAGAACAAATTCTTTGGCAATGTAAAATGTATATTGCTGCTGTACGTTTAGCAAATGATTTTGGTTGTGATTTAATTGGTATTCAATACCAACAAGGTTTAAAAGATTTAGTACCAGCATCAGATTTAGCTGAAGGTTTATTAAATAATGTTGATCGACCACCAGTTAAAGATCGTACAAATCAACATGTACTTTTTGAAAATGCTGCTGTACCACATTTTAATGAAGTTGATGAATGTGCTGGTGTTGATGCATTTATTACAAATCGTGTTTGGAATCAATTAGGTTACTCACCTGAATCAACATTACATGATGTACGTTATGGTGAAGATTATAATGGTGTATTTACATGGGTTTTTGAAATATCGGGTGCTGTTCCACCGGAACATTTAACTAATGGTTATAAAGGTGCTGTTAGTTTTCGTCAACCACCAATGTATTTTCATAAAGGTGGTGGTACAATTCGTGGAGTTTCAAAACCTGGTGAAGTTGTTTGGAGTCGTATATATACAGAAGATAATCGATTAAAAGCTGATATTGGTCGAGCACATGTTGTTGAATTACCAAAAGAAGAAAATGAACGACGTTGGCGTGATACAACACCACAATGGCCTATTATGAATGCACAATTACTTGGTGTTAGTCGAGATCAATTAATGGCAAAACATAAAGCTAATCATATTCAAGTTGCATATGCACCTACTGCTCAAGATGCACAAAAAGCATTGGCAGCTAAAGCAGCTTGTTTTCAAGCATTAGGAATCGAAGTTATTGTATGTGGTACTGAATCAGGACTTGCCTGAATCGATGAAGGAAATTTTTAATAAATTAGTTTTTTTTTTTTTTGTAGTAATTTTATTCATCATTGTTCTAAATAATAAGAACAATTCATTTTTTTTGTCTAATTAGACAAAAAAACAAAAAAAAACAAGATGAAAATATGTTCTAATATAAACAATGCAAAAAAAAAACAAAGTGTTTTTCTTTTTTTTTTTTTACAAGAGATTCTATTAGAAATGCTTAGATAATCTGGCAATTTAAGATGATCGATCAGGTTTTCGTTTTGGTGTTGTTGAAGATGGAAAAGGTTTTGATGTATTCAGTTCCGTCGGTTTTAAACGTCGTTCAATATCATTAAGAACAGGCTAAAAAAGAAAAGAAAAAAAGCTGTTAGCACAATCCCTATAGGATTAAAATTTGAAACACGATATAACTGCTATTGTTAATCATAAAGATATTTTGTATTCTATATATATATATATCACGGGATATATTTCTTCACTATTCTTTGAATTAATCCTCGAAAAATGTAATTAGAAAGTAGTTAAGATATACGTTGTTTTATCATATGTCAATGATGTCTGTCATAAACGATAGACGATATTCTAACCTTTGACCAAAATAAAAATGTTAAAATATTGTAAAGTTAAAAGCTTAAATTGTTGAAAGGTATTCATTCGAAAAAATATGAAGAACTGCATTTACATCCTTACTAGAGTCTATCAAGTTGGTTTCTGTCAGATCCGAATCTGAAATTGTTGAATCCTATGAGCTTTAACCTACGCTTTGATTTATCAAGAACATTTTTACTTATCTTTCATCCGTCTTTTTTTCTAATAAATAAATTTGATTCAATTTAATCTGGTGATCTTTTCATGAACTCAATGAAAAAATAAGCATCCTGAAATTTCTGTGGACATTTTTATTTTCCACTATTTTGATTTTCGACCAACGTTAAGATTAACGGATAGATTCTACTGAGGATGTCTGTGCTGACTCGTTTCTAATGTGTTTATGATAGTTTAAAATTTCTTTTAAATTATGTTTGAAGAAAGAAAAAAAAACCCTATTTAAAATATAAATATATACCATAAGATATTTTTTCCATGCTAAATGTTCTTCTTTATCATAATCATCTTCGTTTTGTTGATTTTTTTCGATAACATTTGGAAAATTTTCTTTTAATATACGATATGATGCTAATGTTTTTATATTAAGTTTACTAAGACAAAATGCAATATTTGCACGTTTTCGATCATCACCACTAAAAAAAAATTCAAATAGATAACATCTTATATATGTATTTATTTATATTTTTATCATTACCTTGCTTGTTTAAATTGTCGACAAAGACGTTTAACTAATATTTCACAATGACGATCATTTTTAATAAATGAAAAAAGATAAGAAATAATTTGTTGAAATAAATCAATTGAACATATATTATTCATTGATAAACGTGATATTATATCAGGTAAAACATTAAATAAAGCCATACCACGTTGACGTAAAGATAATTCATCAAAAAAATGTTGAGCTATACTTGATATTGGTGTATGAGAATGAAATAAACATAATGCTATTTCACTAATATAACCACGAACCTAATTAAATTAAATTTTTAAATCAAAGATTGTTTTTTTGTTTTCTCAAAAAAAAATTTTTCTTTATACTTTAATCATTTCACGTAAAATAAGTATTGCAATAGTACATAATGCTGTTTCACTAACATTTAAATCTTTATCATGAATTTGTGCATAAAATTGTGGTGTAAACGGTTCAAGTATATTTGGATGTCTATAATAAAAAAAAAATATTATAACGAAGTCAATAAGAAATTAACTTACCGAAGAAGAAGATCACCAAGAGAAACAATTAAAGCAGAACGTACAGATGAATATATACATATTTTAGAAAGTTCAAAGATACGATCAACATATTTTGAACATAGAATTGGTGAAACATACATCATACGAGTACAAGTTAAAATACTTGTTAAAACAAGATTTTCATCATATAATGAATGATCTTCATAAATGAACTAGAACGCAAAAAAAAATGAATAGAATTTTTAAATTGTTTTCTTTAATAGGATATTTTATAATGGATAGACATTTTACAAGTCTGCCGATTCACAAGTAACGCCTTCATTCATTTTTGAGTTTCACT